TCAAACAGTTTATTTGCCCTAATGTAATGATCATGTAACCTAATGGAAAATTAAATAAACTTTGTAGATTCACATAGCAATTACCTGGGGTGGATTAACTGATAAGTGGATCAAGATAACACAGCAAAAGGAGAGGACATGGTGAAGATTAAACCACCTAGATGACCATTTACCTACACCTTGTGATACTTACTATAAATATATATACATAGTTATCTTTTCTGATCCTTCCTGCAGCTATATATATATATAGTGAAAGGGATTAATTACAGAAACTTTGATCCAGATTTGCTGGACTTGGAACGGCTCAAAGTTTACATCTCCACCCATTTTACAATGCTGTGGCATCTACCTTTATCCTCGTATTAAGTATTTATGGGAAATAAAAGAGTGTCAAATCTTTCCTAGGACTTTGGCACAATTGTTTCTGTTTTTATTTTGGGTGTGCATTTCAGACCTGACACAAAATATGCTTGATGCTTTTTAGTGTCAAAGAGGCTTCAATGTTTGACTCCACCATTTTCAAAGAGAACAATAATTTAGCCTGGTCTTTCTACTCTGAAGCTCTCTGATTTGCTATTTTGCTCAACTTCAGTTTCTAATCACCCCATACTGTTAAGATCTAAGCTGTCTGTATTTAGAAGAATTAGCAGGAATTTGCCAGTAAAAACATCTGTGTATCTGCCTTAATGTCTTCCATTCATAGACTCAGCAGGACAGGGACAGTACTGAATCAGGGAATTAAAAGTACAAAGTTTTGTTTGGGTCATTTTAACCTCGCAGAAAAATAAAAAATAAATTGATACAACATGACTACCTTTATATGTATAAACATTTTACAATTTGGAGCAGTCATGCTAACTTACCTATATATTTCAGCATTATTCCCTTTATAAATGCACAACACCATTGTAAATTATTTTCTATCAAAATTTATATTCCCAATTTGCAAAACGCAAGTCAGAAAATTAAACTAGGATGACCCCTTTTTTTCACATCACATCAATAAACAAAATTTCCCCATCTATCCTATTCCAGCTAAACAACTTAGTTCTAGGTAAGACACTTGATGCACAAAGGTCAAAAGATGTTATGAGTGGGGCTTAAGCATCCATTAAAACTATTTAATATAATTTGATGACATTAAAATGATAGTCATCATTACTAATTTCTATAATAATGCACATGACACTTATTTTAAAACAGTTCTCAGAGTGCACAATGAACCGAGTGAAAATGAGTAATATAGATCCTATATGTAAGTACCTCGCAGGTAAGGGGGATACAGTAAAACACATTTATAGCGAGCATGCTTAAAATGAATTGATGCTTAAAGTGGTTTTCATTTCCCAAGGCTTTAAAATATGTTAATGGTGAAAATTAATAGAAGCAAAATCGTCTGTCCCTGGCACTTTGTTGTAAGCTTGTTTTACTGTATATAAAATTCAATACTTCATCCTTGCCAGCTACTTACCTCCTGAACTTCACCAACAAAGTTCTCCTTTCACAGTGTGGTAATTTGACTTTTTTTCCTCCTTTATTTTCAAATATTTATTACAACTCATACCACTTGTAATTTAAAAGTCCAGTCCATACATTTTGGAAGTCAAACACATTACATATGTGAAAGATAGATTTTTTAAAATTGGATCAAAGCAAAGTTCATTATGTTTGTACTCGAAACAAAGACAGTTTGGAAGTCCGCTCATATATATACCCTGCACAGTCAGAACATATCAAATACCATCAATAAATACACTAAAGATTATTAGTTGACCAGTGACCATTAGAGTCCAGTATAGCCTAGGACAAACAAAGGGCCCAGGCACTCCAAAATTCACAGAGCTACACATCATTAAACCATTAAAGTTTGATATTTTTATCTACATTGTGAATCAACATTAATTCCCAGGCATGTGGACAAGAGACCACTTCTGATTAAGTTATGTCTACCATTGTTACCTTGTTGGAATTCCTGTACCCCATTTATTAAATCTAGGAATTATTTACTATAGTGTTGTATGCATGATAATGAAAACTGTTATCTTAAGACTGTTGCATTAACATTCTTCTCCTGTGATGGCAATTGAGACGGTGATAAATTTTCTCATAGCAACAAATAGAGGGTCCATCTATCCTGTATCTGTCTAGTTATCTAAACTGTCCCTCACTCTGTCATTCTCTCTCTTCTCTCTCTCTCTCTCTCTCTCTCACTGATAAAATACTTGCCCTGGTTATGGAAAACAAAAGTTCATCTGACATAAAAAGATCCAATTTCATTCCAATAAATCAAAGTCCTCCACAAAGATTTGTATTCCAGTACGTGGGTCTGCATCCAGTGAAAAGGTGTTTCTTTGTTTCAAAAATAAACACAATATTGATTTCCATCTGAATTAGACAGTGCTTCTGTTCATAAAAGTTTATCATAAAATTCATCTATTCCTTTGTATGGATAAAGACCATGTGATCCAATATCGGGGTCTCAGACTGGGATCAATCAAGTGCACCCAAAATCTATACCCTCCTCAAAGAGCACCTGTTATGCAGCAAATCGAACAAGCCCATCACTTCCACATTGGGCACAGGTACATACTACATACAATACAAATCACAAACAAGAAAATCAAAATTCATTCAAGGCATTAAAGCCAAAATCACTTTTTGTGTCTACAAGGGTGGAAAATCTACTGACATGTAGTCCACGGTATACAAAGGAAATTGACTTTTTGTCCATTTAAGCATTAAGAAATGATGGAAGCATGTAATTATTCCTGGAGTTTAAATGTTTTTGATGGAGGGGTATGACAAAGTCCCTGATCAGCAGGGGAAGAGAGTTTAATAATAACAAGTGTTGACACCCACTGAGGCTCCACCTTACCTAATACTGATCAACAAAGCGATTTTAAAGAGATTATTTTGACGGAAACATCTCAGCTCATGGTCTCAAAATAAAACTTTCAATGAAGACACTTCCATATTAGAAAGTGCGTATGATTAATATTGCTTAATTGAAATGGGTCCTGCTTCACACTTCGATGAAAACACAATTACATCATTTACTTTTCCCCCATTTGTTAATGTTCTCCCAGACAAGTAAAATGTCAAAGGACAATTTTGTGCAGAGAGAAGCCTTTATGACATCATAAAACTACACTGTTTGATTTCTGAGTAATCCTTTATCAAGGGGACAAATTCTTCCTAGTAAACAAAGGTCAAATTAACACAGGGAAATCATGAGGAATTCATTAAATTAACTCCAAATCTTCACAAAATATCAAAATGCCATCATCTGATTGCATGAAATCTATACCTTTTATGCACAGAACAAAATCTCTTTTTGATTAAACATTTTTATGCAGAAAACAACAAATTTCATGTTCAGAACATGCTGTGCCTGGGGCAATAATGAGGTTTTGTTTTACAACAATTCATAGAAACTTCTATATCCCATTTTCTAATTTTAAATGATTCATGTGACATTAAAAAATTATTTATAGATGGTGTGTGAAAAAAATTAAATGAACAACTTTGTATATTGCAAATCTGAGAGAGTGCACTTCATTCAACCCTCCTTTACTAAATGATGCATTATGTTTTCACCTTGGATATAATGGTTTCATGTTCTGAAGACTTGAGATGACATTCAGTTGAATTTTAAATCAATTTAATAAACATAAATGTTGTAGAATTACCTCTGTATTATTTGATAATTCCCCAGTGAAAATGGTTTAAAGTCAAACTGATAGAATCATTTTGATTTATTGCTTTAAACTTCCTACAAAAGACTTTAAAAATATATGGCAGATATTTGTACCACCTTTGAATCCTATCTACTGGTACATTCAGAGAATGTACCAGTAGATAGATTAGAGAATTCGGAGACTATTTTTTTTTTTTAAAAGAGACAGTTCTATTTTTTTCTCTTTTTTTTTTTTTTTTTAAACTTTAATGTAATCCAAGTACCAATTTCATTTCACATACATGTACATTTTACAAATCCACTTAAAACTTAGAACATATGCACCATGATTATGTAATTCAGGTTTAATACAATGATTTTATACAACAGTTCCTATATCAAATGCATTTTTATTATCCTGTACCAAGTATTATGTCACATCTTGTCAAGAACAGGAACTCTGTCTAGACTTTCAAATCAGTCACAAGATGATTTTATAAATATTTAGGATTTAATAAATTCTTTGTTTTTGCTCTAGTTTGCAGCTTGAAATAACATTGGCAATGACCCGATTTTACACCCATATATAACAAGTTACAATACCACCACAATATAACTTTATTTATATCCTGTTGGCATGTTTCTTAAAAATTCATACACAGCTGTCCAAAAGGCTTAAAATGCATTAAAACATACAATTCTATTTCAAGCTAGGTTTTGATTTCAATTTGAAAACTATGTATAAATATACAACCAATTTGTGAAGACAGTTTCATAAAGGTATTATTTTATAAAGTACTATAATAGCACATTTTTGGGCGTCACATGACTGTTGATCAACATAATTTTCCCTAATGTTGCACAAAAGTGATTAAAAAAATAATTGTAAGCTTTTAGTTACATAAATGAATTAAACTTATCCTGTTGTATATATAAAGTGTGTGTGTGGGCATGTATGTGGCATGGGGCAAGTCTGAATGTTACTTGTAACTATTTCAAGAACTTCAAATTATCCACACACAAGAGGGTATTTTTCACGCTACATCACAATCTTTTTTCTTCAAAATTCCCCATCATGTCATCTCAATTTCACAGTGACATGACGTCATATGTTATTATAACTTAATATCTAGGTAGTTCAGAGAAGTTAATACAGATGGTGAGCTGTGATATTTTACCAACAGCCTTCTCCTAGCCACATACTTATCTGCACAACTTTCAGTATAAACTTCACTTCGGAGGTACAAGCCCAACTACTATTTTTAGAGCATTACACTATTTTTATCCACTTGAAATTGACTTGAAATCTACTTGAATTTACCTGAGGTGACATTGTTGTTTTGCTGGTTGAGTTGAGCTTTGTTTCTATCACTTGATGTTGGAGTTGAGCGACTACTGCGGCTGTTGTTGAGGTTGGAATTACTGTGAGGTCCGCTTTCTTTACTGGAGGGGTTGGTTATTGTCGGACATTTACTCCCCTTGTTAAATGGAGATGGTAACCTACAATACATATATAAATTCAATTCTAAGATCGTACACTTCCATAATTTGGTATAAATCCCTCCAAAGGCAAAACCACTACAACATGATATACACATACAGTTGAACTTCGTTATTTTGAACACTGATATCTCAAATACCATGAATATGTCGAAGTGATTTGGAGGTCCAAAACATATAATTTTGAAGTATTTTACCCGCAATATCTCGAATTCTTGGATATCTCTCTGTTTTTTCTCGGTCCCAGCGAGTTCGAGATAACGAAGTTTGACTGTATTTTGTCCTAATAGTATGATTAAATTAATGTCAAGTCTATCACAAACAGAATAGCATTTTTCTGTTTTGAAATTAAAACCATCATTTACCATTACACATCTAAGAACATCTGTCCTAAAATGATGACAAGGTTAAAGTGTCCATTTTAGAAGGCACTTGATTTATTTTGGAAGTAGGAATAAAACTTATCTAATCAATAATTATTTTGTTGCCGGAAGAATATTTTTCAAAAAATCAGGAAGAGTGTATTGAATAGTTTGGACCTGTGGCTAGACAAACAAAATTTACCATCCTGTATCAACAACAACAGACCCAGATCTGAATTAGGACCAAAAACAAAGGTCAGTCTCCGTCACAACACAGGAAGTAAACTAAACCAGGAAGTAAAAGAAAGGTCAAGGACAGAAGCAGGAAGTTGATGGAAATCATCCAGAACTTGCCCTGGTCTCCATCGCAGAAGAATATATTCTTCTACAGAGCACATGAAAGTGTGAAAGCAATTGAATTAAGTATTTGTGTAAGCAAAGGGCCTAAAAATAATTCTTTTCAAAAGCAAACCACTCCAACTCAATCAGATCTTACACACTGATAGGATATACACAACTAATGCAAATTATACATTATCTTCTCCGTTTTTTGTAAACAGAAGTATCACTTTTGGAAACATAACTTTTCACTTCACCTGCCCAAGTTGTTTCTGGTGTCTTACACAATGAACACTTTACAGCGACAACTAACAGCTGCATGCATGCAGGAAAACATTAAAATATCAGAATCAAAGTTTTCTAACTTTTATGAAAACTTCTGAAAGAGATGTTTTTCATGATTTTGATAATGCATCAATCATGCAAGTACATGTACCTTATAGTATAACAATTGCCTCTCCTTACCTTCACTGATCTCTTCAAAGACCAAAAAAAGTTGTGAAAAATGAACTTAAAGCAATGTCAGTTTTCAAAGTGAGAGTTCACACTGAGAAACACAACAACTTTAAGGTTTTTGGCCACATAAATATCATTTCCTTGAATCTTGCAATCAGATATGGCTCACAGTAAGGTCAGTGATTTCTATAAAGCTGGTCAAACAAACCCATTACTATCTCCCCCGTGATACATCCATTAGTTATATTATTCCTATGCAAGAGCTTCATCAAATTTTATACCCTTTTCACCGAAATTTGAAGACAAAGAAAATGATCATGAGAAGTCACTGAACAATGGGTCAGGAACAAGCCTTCAAATCAGGGCACTAACTACAACACCAGAGAAACCCAAAAGTTCTGCAAATGAATTAAATTTTGGTCATTAACAAGCAGTAAGGCATTGGCAGGGAATTTCTTTTTCTCTTGATGCAGGGTAGTTTGATTGACATAACCATTAGTGCTATGTTTTATAGCAGGACATAGGTTAAAGGATTAATCAGAGAACCAATTAAATGTTAATTCAAGAGTTAGGGGATAACAGTGGGATGGGGGATTAGTTCCCCTCCCCTGCTTTGTTCAGGCTATAAAAAGGGTCAGCCCAAATGACCTTTAGACAGGTGACCAATGAAATTCATCACTGCCAGCCTTTCCAACTGCCTTTCCCAAAGAAAACATGATTCTATATTTAATTTGGATAAATATGTATTAGATGATTTACTCTCAGTGTGCAAAATTAATCTGCATACAAAAGAGTGAAAAATGCTCATCTGCAGCATTATACAGATGCATGAAATTTGGAGATAACAAAGAGAAATCAAGCTCAAAATTCCATTGAAACAATACAAATCAGGAGCAAAGTGAACATGGACCTCTATAAAACATTAGAGGTGGGATCAGGTGCCATGGAGGAGTAAGCATCCCCTGTTGACCAGTCACACCTGCCGTGTACTCATTGTCATGAACAGAAATTAAATGTAAATGAACAAGATGCTCCTGTTCCTTGATAATCATCTAAATATCAAGATTATTTAGATATACTACACTCCCTATTAGACATAAGTGACCTGGATCCTCATATTCTGGTACATTTATGGCCCAAGCAAGTTTTCCTATTTTCCTCTTGGTCAACAATAGAAATCTATTTTTTCCGGTTTCTAAGTCATAACCAATGTAAAACTTCATTGCTCTTGTAGATGACAAATATTATCATAACTGCATGGCTGAAAAGTTTTACAGAGAAGCTGAAATTGTTCAAAAATTTATGACCCATGGAAGACTGTAAAGGCTACAATACCCACCTAGATAGCATTTCCCCTCCATTGAGCTGAGGTGTGTTCCTGCCTTGCTGAGTGAGGTGGTGGTTATCTGGAGTAGTCTCCCCTGGCTGGGCTTTGGCTTGTTCCTGTCCCTGGCGTAGTTTGGCCTTCTGCTGCTGTTGGTAGCGTGACAAGCTATAGAACAGCCCAAGTATGGATTTTAAATTCCCATCTTTAATGTCTGCAAATAAGAGGATCCCATAAGATACACACCATCCAGCAATTAAAATGCAGAAGTGTGCATGAAACCACTTAAAGATCTGCTTCAAATAAAACCTAAACAGCCATCTATTTGCTAATTAATTTTTGTTGGACACTTCCAAGTGGCACTGGTATTATGAAAGAAATCTGGAACATTGAGGATATCTTAAGCAAAAATTCTCTACTACATGCGCAAAATGAGGAAATCTCGTTTAAGCTTTTCATGTCGAACAGGAAACCATTGAAATGTTTACAAACTGAACAACAAAATGCAACACTTTTCTCAAACGCAAGTTAAGTGCATATTACTTGAAGAGGGAAACCAGTTGCCAACAAATTTTAAAATCTGAACGTGAGAATCACAACTTTCACAACAATTAATTTTTCTCTCATAGAGCACATTTCAATTACAAAAAAGAGAATTTTTACTCTAGAATAATTTTGGGATCAAGGTATATTCAGAAGTTATGACTGAAACCTAAAATCAGGCCAGAAAATTTTTGCTGAATAATGTAGCCAAGAGATTCATTAATATAAATTTTTAGGCTTTACAGATCCAGAAAATTCATTTTTTTAACCATCTTTATTGTGATATTTGAACATGTAATTATTTTCTTAGGTCCAAATTTTTCATCCATTTAAGGGTGGATCATGAAATTTACCCTTAGCACAAAGTCCTTCAATGTTGACTCCCAGACCAGCCAGGAATGCTAGACACTTGTTTATGTTATCAACCTGTAAAATAAAAAAAATGTCATTTAAAAAGAAAATCAAAGAACATTGTATAATAACAAATATTTAAGAGGGTCTTCCCTGTATTCATGTACAGACATAAGAATTTTGACAGCAGAAATTTGATATACTTGAAATCGATTTTAATTAAAGACAAGAATGCAAGTAGAATTTTTCCAATTTACAAATGAAGATCAAAAGTTTATGAGCTACTTGAACACTTGTGAAATTTTTTCCCCTTAATCCCTAGAATATTTGCTTACTCATAAAATTCTGTTAAAATTACACCATTTTTGTCTCATAACTCTGGCACATAAATAGGAGACCAATGTCTCTTCCAGTGATTATAGTCAACTTTCACCACCAGCAATGACTCAGCTGAGAAAAACCATTAAACAGAATAGAGGAAATACTGGGAGCTTCCAGTTACAATATAGATCCAGATAATTCAATAATCTTTAATGATTGGTCAGAATAGCTCCTCTATCATACAAATCCTGACTATCTATACAGAACTCTGAGTCATTTTATGGAGAGTGAAGAAAAATGACACAAAATCAATCTTTGTGAAGATCAGCAAATAATTTAGTCACCTATTTAACAGGTGCTTTGTTGAACAATTATCCAATTTATTCACAAATCCACAGATTACAAGTGTTTTTTGTTCGTTAATGATGAGAAGAATTATGGGACCTGAGTGGAGTGATTGTGGAAAAAAACAATACATATCCTGATGAACACAGCAATTGAAATGATTTATGCATAAAATTGATGATTTCTATTCCCAATAATTATGTAATTGATAACGGGTATTGCCTTTTTCAATTATACATTATTTATAAAGCAATTCTAAAGGACACTTTTGCATTCTTTTTTTTTTAATTGTTGTCCGTTGCATGACACCCAAGTTTCTGATAGTCTATCGTCTTATTAACATTTAAAGTATAATAAGATTTGGTCCACAGAAATAAAACCTCAAAAAAAACAAGCCCAAACTACATTCAAAATCTAATTCTAATTTTGTAGGAGAAATGCATCTGAAGGTTTGAAATGTAGAATTGATGCTTTCAGTTTGATACCCTGAAAATTGACATACAGTTGAACTTTGGTATCTCGAACACGGATATCTCGAGTACCATGGATATGTCGAAGTGATCTGGAAGTCCTAACAACAGATTTCTCAAGTATTTTACCCTTGACATCTCGAACCCTCAGATATCTCCAAGTTTTTTCTCCATCCCATCGAGTTCAAGATAACGGGGTTTGACTGTATATACATAAATGATGGAGATACCTGAAGTTGACATCATTTTGGTAATTTTTAAAAATTGGGATTTTAAATCATGTCTGTAAAAACATTATACTGTTTACAAAAATTAAATATATATAAAACCTATCAATTGGGACTAAAAGTAGCAAACAATAGATCACAAATGATAACTAAGTTTCACAAAGCATTTCAATGAATGTATGGTCTGCTGTGTTTGATGTGTTGCCACTCAATACTGATTACCCAGAATTTACTACTAATGGTAAGGATAATAACGGCTTCAATGAGCTTGGCGTGTCACAGCGACATTGCAGCATTCTCTAGTGAGACTCCAGAGAGCAAATATTCTCCCGATTGTAGACAAACAATCTAACTATTATGAAGTCCTTTTTGTCTGGCAAGAGATAGCTACAAATTTAATAATGAAGTGAATCACTGACTCCCCCTTCATGTCAGACAATGCTGCTGCTAAAACTCGTAGTAAATCTAGTTGCTGAAAACAAGGATTCTACTGTGACTCAAGTACCTTCAACACGACATGCTTCCTAACCATGTGCATGCAAGTTCATTATTAAAAGAACACAGCAATACATAATGAATTCCTAATTAAATGATGTTCATAACTGTGCTTGCATATCTTAGAAACTTTTTTTCCCTATCTTTTTCACTATACTCCTAAACAAGCTCCTCTCATCATACAGAACCATGTGACACTTCCTTGATTGTTCAGTAATTTACAATTTAACTGCTAATTCTGTCTGAGCACTGCCACACTCTTCTCTTGCTGAAGAACACCGTCCACCACACACTGGATTTCTTTACAAGGACCATTAATCTCTGGCCAGTAATCATCATCTGCATATTCATGTGTTCCTTCATTGCCTAATGGACCATACATCACCCACTCCAAAGAAGGCAGCAGTAAACACTACAAGGATTTAATAGTCTGTCCTTGTCAGGTCATTGTGTGCAGCTGAATTGTGTGGAGAAGAAGACGTGCCTGGCCGGCTGTCAAATCTGACTAGCAGCTGAGTGGACATCCAGACCAAACAGTCAAGGACCCCTAAATCACACAGCAATGAGATGCAGATGTTAAGTAATGAGGCTGAAATCTATGTCCAACCAGATTGTTTGGGCACTCTCATAACAATTTATGCCTGGTACTCTCTTGTTTATTCATCACCCTTCCTGTAATTAGCTCTCTAGCTACATTTGTTTTGTTTTTATCAAGATCAGCAAAACCTATAGTTTATTAAAAGCTCCTGAAGTTATCTTCCAAAAGAGATTGGAAATGGTGAAACCTTCAAGATTCTTTTCAAGTATTTAGCACACACACAAAAAAAACCCCTTTCCTTCTCAAGGCAGTGCCAAATGATAAAATTAGCTCATTTTAAAAATCCTTGAAACAAGACAAAAACACTAGAAACGCAATGCTACCATCCTGTACTTGCTCAACCTTAATGCATTTAATCCATTTAATCCCTATCACCCCATTCAGGAAACAGATCCATCTGACGACAATGCCCAAGGTGACATGTATTCAAACACCTGTCAATAAGGCATTGGCCACACCTGATGTACTGCCATCCTTGACTATAAAATACTGGTGGTGGATAAAAAAGGATTAAAACCTTTGCCTGCTACATAATCCCAATCTATAGTAAATCATGAACGCTTAACCAAATTACATGCAACAAAATCATAAACAATGTAACGAACTTTTTTTTTTCTAAGCAAATATTAAGTTCGTAAATTCGAGATTAATAGCATGGGATGACTTTTTTTTTCTTTTTTTTTTTTTAAAGCTAATATGAAGTGTTCTTAAATTCAAGATTAATAGCCTCAAGATTAATAGCATGGGATGATCATGATGCTGTACTTTTACATCAGAAATATCAGTCTCATCCCCTTCATTATAATTGGCTCATCCAAAGAATATACCATACAGATCTCAGTGAAAGATTTAAATGACAAAATTTAGATGAGCACAATTTAGTCATATGATGATGAATTTTCTTGTCATGAGAAAATGGCAAACAGATAAGCACAAAGTCAGTTACTGAGGTATACAGTAAAACATGCTAATATTTTTAAGTGCCAGGGATGAAACAATTTTGATTCCTTATACACTTTATTCATTATATCCAAATAGCTTACATTTACACTTCAAAACCATGGGGAATGGAAATGTTAAGCGTGAATTCATTATGAGCATTTTGCTTTTAATCCTTGTTTTATCGTATCATAATGTCTTCAGAACTTGGCAAATTACTTCTAAAATTAGGCAAATTCAACCATTGTTTTCTTTTTTCTAAATGAATTCACACTATAGATAAAGTCAGTATATTTTATGCATTTATCAAAATGAGGTTATAACCACAGACTGCAAATCAATTAAGCCAAAACTTCAAAGAGCCAAAAAACACAGCCAACTGCTGCAAATGTGCATTAAATGGGGAAGAAAAACCCTGGAGAATAATCAAATGTGGTCAAGTGAAAGCATTTTGCACTGCTACAACTGCCAGCAAGCCTCTCAAGCTCCAGCTGTTCCTACAAGCATCACCAAGCTTACATCATTCTCCCCCCATCCCCTCTAAACACAATTTACAGGTAATATTTGGCCTTTCAAAACCTAACAAGCATGAGAGACACATTCTGAAAAAATTACAAAGTTTGTCAATTAAGAGTTGGAGGTGGAACTTGTCATTCCTTTGGTTAGCGATACCAATTAGAAGGATCTGTTCAATGGATGGAGCATGCTGTGTATTACTTGTAATTGCCATTGTTACAACATGAATCACTAATATCATAAAAATTACGCAGTAATATTTTCCTTAAATAACAGTAGAGGAAAGGATCCTAGTCTTTTTACAATAAAAATTTGTAGTAAAATGCTTCACATTTTCATAATTTAAAAATACAAAAGTATCAATGCCAGTAAATTCTGAAAATTTTATGTCTATTGAGCACAGGGGCTGCACAAGTCACTGTCAGGGCTTGGAATAAAATAAATCCATGAGATCTTACCAAAAAAAACCATATATATATAACATTTATAAATACATAAGAGGGAAATTTGCAAGTGAATCATTAATATACAATGAAAATGTGTTCGATCAAGTTGTAAAAGTAAAAATTCCTCATAAATTGAAAATTTCAAGCAGTTGACTTGTAGTATGACCAGAAACTTTGACATGAGTCACTACAAACTTTACCTGCTAAATAAAGATCCTATATATCCAAACACTATAAAATATAGTGGTCCAGTGAAAGTACATAAATCCTCTAGCTTAGATGTCTCACAGACACACTGTAACAGTGAAGCAGCAGGCAGCAGTAGCCCACATGCAGGAGAAGAAGGGGGTGGTGTCAAAAGGCTTCCAACACAATCCTGTAAACACTAGTAAGCCCTGAAAACCCCTGCATGTGTTAGCATCAGTCAATAAAAATATCAGTTCTCCATGTTCTCCTGATTAAACTGTTATTTAATTGACTACAGGTAAAGTGTTAAATTACTATTTGATGATCTTTTTTTGCAGAAGTATTAGGTCCATGAGTTTGTGCCTGATAGATCAAAGCTTTCTGCATCATGCAGCATGTTAGTGAAAAGTATCAATAAGGATACCTAGGGTCATAGATGACCCCCCAGGGGATCTCATGGGCCATAAGATAAGAATCAGTGACCTCATTTGTTTACATGTTCTTCACATAACACTTAAATCAGACTGATCCT